TTCGTCTTGCATTGGATTCTGACTTCACTCTGGAAGCAAAGTGTTATAAAGGTTACCCTACCTCAGATTTTGGAGTTTCCCACATTACCGTTGGAAGGTATCTTTTGGTAGGCTCTTAAACAATTATGGAGCTATGGAAATAGCCTTAGGTGAGGAGCTGAGCATCCCAAGTTCTCAAGTGCACTCTGTTTATTGAATTACAGACACTTATCTGTAAATGATGATGATTTTTTGGGTGGGGGTAAGAGATACTTGGTTAAATGCTTTGTGTGCATTATGTTATTTAATTCATGTAGTAAATTGGAGGCAGGCATTATCGCAATTTTACAGATGAGAAAACCAGGGATTAGAGAAGTTAAGCAGCTTGCTGAAGGTCACACAGCCAGTAAACATAAAGCTAGAATTCATACCCAAGGACTGCCTGACTACAAGACCTGTTTCTTTGCTGCTCTGCATTGTGCTATATGTAAAGTACTGTGTGCTTATTATGAGGGTTAAATAAGCTAAGCTAATGTGTACATCCTTTGTAAAGTAAGATATTAGTCTTGGTATGGTAAAAATATGGACATGTTTGGAACATGGAACTGTTACTAATCTTTTCTGCTATTTTAAGGCTTCACATGCATTTCATAATTTTATATATAAGTATTTTACACCTTCAAGATTGTTAATATTTTGTCAATGTCATGTTTCTTGATTTATGAAGTACTCTTGTTATTCTTTAAAAACCCTTTCTAAGAAGGAAGGAAATCTATATCCCCTCCCCTCACATATTCCATGAATTTTTGTTTTGAAAAGAAAAAACTTAATTTTACATCAGAATCTTTAGAATTTTTTGGACTCCAGAATTTAATAATTAGTTACATTGTTCATTTGCAATTTCATACTAGAGAATAAGATCTTCAATATTCCATTATTTTAAAAGATAATACAAGGTAAACACATACAGAAAAGGTTTAATTGCTCCAGTAAGGATACTAAATAGTCAAACAATTTTCAGCAACTTAGTTTACTACCTATATATACAAGCTACTTTGATTGTTGATGCATTACTGAAATACTTTAAGGCCTTCCTTAGTTTGTATGCATTGCTGAAATACCCCGAGGTTTGATTCTAGAATGCTTGAAAAATTTTAAGTTGCAAAAGGAAAACAAATGAATGCTTACTCATGTTGTAACACTTTTCTGTAATTTACCTCAATTTCTAAGGTTGTACCTTTTATTCAGGTTAGGAATAGGTTTTAAGTACTCTTGATTCCAAGTAATTTGTTTAATTGTCTTAATGCTATCTTTATAATCATTTTAAGCTGTGGCGCTTTTGTGAGTGAGTGCCTAGGAGCTAGAAAATTGACATACAGGCAGTGAGGTCTGCTTTCTCTTACCGGCCCCCTGGCATTCTCTGTGACCTCACAAGGCACTTTTAAAATCTTTTAGCTTATCTAGCTTTGAAGGCAAAGCCCTAGAATATGGCTTGGAAATTCAGAAAAAAATGATAATTTAAATAAAGATAAATGTAAATATTTGTAGACAAAGCTTTCAAGTCCAAACTGGTTTTAAATACCCTCTAAACATATAAAAATATTTTTCAAAATCATTTTATAAACCCAGAAGCAATAGAGTATAAAAGCCCCTATCAATAGCACATGTTTAGTGATGATTACAAGTATTTGTTTGAAATATAAATTTTGATATTCTAACTTTTGATTAAAGTAGAAGTATGAATTTTTAAACCTTACTTCTCAGATGAGAAATTAGAAATTTTGTCTTCATCTTTTATAAGAATTGATGAATCTGCTGGCTTTTTGTGATATTTAACATTTTTATTATCAAAGAAGAATGCTGGATGCCAGTGGAGCGTGCCTGTAGTCCCAGCTACTTGGGAGGGTAAGGTGGGAGGATCGCTTGAGCCTGTGCCATTTGGCCATAAGCCAGACTTCCTGGGTCAGCATTGAGCAAAATTTCTAACAGGTTTCTGACTACTTCCTCTTACTTCTGGTTCATATGGTTAGAACTTGTTCTGTCACTTGGGATACTCTCCCTTAGGTACTGACCACCTTACTAAACAACCCTCAATCTGCCTTTCTATTTTTATCTGAGTTACCCATTAGGTGGTTGTTTACATGAATTTTTGCTTTTTTCCTTCATCGTTTGGAGATGACTTTTTGCGGATTGAATCTTGTACCAGGATTTTCCATCTCTGTTTCTGCTTGGATAAATCTTATCCATACTTCACGGCTATGAATTTTTTTTTTTGTTTTTTTTTGAGACGGAGTTTTGCTCTGTCTCCAGGCTGGAGTGCAGTGGCGCGATCTTGGCTCACTGCAACTTCTGCCTCCTGAGTTCAAGCGATTCCCCAGCCTCAGCCTCCCAAGTAGCTGGGACTACAGGCGTGCACCACCATGCCCAGCTCATATTTTGTATTTCTTTAGTAGAGATGGGGTTTCACCATGTTGGCCAAGATGGTCTCGATCTCCTGACCTCGTGATCCGCCCACCTTGGCCTCCCAAAGTGCTGGGATTAGAGGCATGAGCTGCCGTGCCTGGCCCGACCATGAATTCTTTCTTCTATCTTCCTGTGTGTTACATGTCTTAATTGCGTTTAAAAAAATTAATGTAAAAAGTATGTAACATAAAATTTACTGTCTTAACCATTTTTAAGTGCAGTTCAGCTGTGTTAAGTATATTCACATTATTGTGCAACAGATTTCCAGAACTTTTTCATCTTGCAGACCTGAAACTCTAGATTAAGCCACAAGCCCCATTTTCTTTTCTTCAAGTCCCTGGTAGCCACCATTCTACCTTCTCTCTGTTTGTATGAGTTTGAGTACTTTAGATACCTCGTGTAAGTGGAATCAGAGTGTTTGTCTTGTAGTGACTGGCTTATTATACTTAGCATGATATCTTCAAGTTTCATCCTGTCACTTGTAGCATGTCACAGGATTTCCTTCTTAAGGTGAAATATTTTATATATATGTGTGTGTGTGTGTGTGTGTATATGTGTGTGTGTGTGTATATATATACACATACCACATTTTGTTTTATCCATCCATCTTTCAGTGGACATTTGGGTTGTTTTCAGCTTTTGACTGTTGTGAATAATACTGCAATGAACATGGGTGTGCAAATATCTCTTTGAGATCCTGCTTTCAATTCTTTTGATTTATATACCCAACAGTGGAATTGCTGGATCATATAGTAATTCTATTTTTAGAATGAAAAGTGTTGCTGTAGTCTTATTTTTGACCTTAATTTGACTATCAGCCGGGCGCGGTGGCTCACGCCTGTAATCCCAGCACTTTGGGAGGCCGAGGCGGGCGGATCACAAGGTCAGGAGATCGAGACCACGGTGAAACCAGGTCTCTACTAAAAATACAAAAAATTAGCCGGGTGTGGTGGCGGGCGCTTGTAGTCCCAGCTACTCGGGAGGCTGAGGCAGGAGAATGGCGGGAACCTGGGAAGCGGAGCTTGCAGTGAGCCAAGATCACGTCACTGCCCTCCAGCCAGGGGGACAGAGCGAGACTCCGTGTCAAAAAAAAAAAAAAAAAATTGACTACCACAGCCATACTGCTTTCAGTCTTCTCCTTTAAGTTTGTGTCTCTTTTGTTTATGTTTTGGAAAATATGGAAATGATGGAGCATATGTAAATGTAGAAAAATATATTTTATATCTAATTAAAATCTAATTGTGATTTTATATATTTTAGTAGAAGAGGGTGTTGCTGATGTGAATACCAACAAAAGGCTATAGAAATCCGATTATCTTTTGGTTTCTATTTTTTAGTAAGTAAATTTGATTAGAAAAATGTTATAGATCAAATTCTAGTTTATGTATTTTCTCTTAAAATCTGTGGCTATTGGCCGGGTGCAGTGGCTCACGCCTGTCTGTAATCCCAGCACTTTGAGAGGCCGAGGCAGGTGGATCACTTGAGGTCAGGAGTTCAAACCAGCCTGACCAATATGGTGAAACCCCATCTCTACTAAAAATATAAAAAATTAGCCGGGCGTGGCAGCAGGCATCTGTAGTTCCAGCTACTCTGGAGGCTGAGGCAGGAGAATGGTGTGAACACGGGAGGCGGAGCTTGCAGTGAGCCGAGATCGTGCCACTGCAGTCCAGTCTGGGAGACAGAGCAAGACACTATTTAAAAAAAAAAAGAAAAAAAAAAAATCTGTGGCTAGCATTTAAGTATCAAAATCCTTGCACTAAGTAACATCCCAAAACTGTAAGTCTAGTAAGACTTAGTATTTGCTTCTTTTTGGAAAGATACCAGAGAAACATCATATGGTATCTGTAATTCTATTATATGGAATATTACATTTTCTCTTTATTCATAAGCTAGGAGCTCAAACATTAGAACTTTGTTAAAAGTTTGTAAAAAGTTAGAACTTTGTTAAAAATTACACCAAAAGTTGGAACTTTGAGGTGTTCTTGATCTCTACTATAGTGCTATAATGAAAACCTGTAATACCATTTCAACAATTTGAACTGGTTCATAACAATCATGGAGAGATGTGCTTTAATTTTGGTATATCTTTTCTATTGGTAATAACAAATGGGGCTGGGTGCGGTGGCTCACGCCTGTAATCCCAACACTTTGGGAGGCCAAGGCAGGCGGATCATGAGGTCAGGAGATCGAGATCATCCTGGCTAACACGGTGAAACCCCATCTCTACTAAAAATACAAAAATTAGCCGGGCGTGGTGGCGGACACCTGTAGTCGCAGCCACTTGGGAGGCTGAGGCAGGAGAATGGTGTGAACCCAAGAGGTGGAGCTTTCAGTGAGCCAAGATCAAGCCACTGTACTCTCCAGCATGGGCCACAGAGCAAGGCTCAGTCTCAAAAAAAAAAAAAAAAAAAAAAAGTGGAAGAACTGTACTTGCCCGCCCCGCCCCCTGCCCACAATTTCATTATGTATTACCATGATTCTGCATTTGAACTGGTAAATAATAATAAATCTTTCTCAAGCCACAAATAGCAATTCAGTTTTTGTGTCTTTGTTGACAGGGTGGAGTTCAGCCTACTCTTTCTTAGATGTGAAAGGAAAGGAAGGTCGTTTCATGCCTTGTTGATAGAGGTAAGGTCATAGTAATTATTAAAGAGTTTGAGATGTTTGGTAGGTATCTACTGCTTTCTGACATTCTGACTTTGTGGTATGCTGAAGTTAACAGAAAGATAATACATTTTATAAGATGAATGGAATCTACACTTGTTCCTTTAGTTATCAGTAAAAACACATAAGATAAGGAAACTGGTGTAAATCAACATGACAAAGTGGATGTGGATTTGTTCTATAATGAGAAAGTAACTTGTGCTTTTCATTTGAAATGTTGGCCTACACACTTAGTCTGTTCCTCAAACATTTACATGGTTGGTAATAACCTTTTATCATCCATTGCTGATATCATGATAACATGTTTTAGGTTAATACAAACTAGATTACAAAATTATGCCATTTTAAAGCAAATCTATCCGTTATACGTTTCATGCTGATAGTTCTAGTTGGTGTCACTGATTTTAGAGGGCAAATGTGAAACAGGTGGTGTAGACTTCAGAGGCCCCACCTCTGACCCATGTATATTAGTGAATGTTAACTTGGAGACTCTTTTCTAAGCATTTGCTCCTATTGTAGCTATTTTTATAGTGTGCTAAAATGTTCAAATGCTATTACGAATGCTTTAAATGAATTCAATTTGTTTTTCAAAAGTCTATGAAAACTGTTCTGTTAATATTCCCATTTTATAGATGTTAAAACTGAAGCATTGGAAAATTAAGAAAATTACCCAGGATTATGTAGATAGTAAATGGTAGAGTTGGAATTACATTGAGACCTCCTGATCTTTACTTCAGTGCTATACTGAAAACCTGTAATACTATTTGAACAATTTGAACTGGCTCATAATAATGATGGGAGGATGTGTTTTACTTTTGATGTATCTTTTCTAATAACACATGAACAAATGCAGGATGAATACATGTTACACTTCTTGATGGGTTTGACTTGACGCCAGTGAACTCTATCAGAAATTTTTTATACTTTAAATCCTTATAAATCTACTCAGTAAAGTTTTCAGAAAGTTCCTTTTGCATATTTATAAAATGTTCATTGCTTGCTTAAAAATACCCATATTAAAAGATGGTAGCATAATTTTAATTAAGAAAGCAGAAATAATGTACTTTACAAGGATTAGTATTACTCCTTTGGGGGCTATAAGTACAATGTATATTTTTTCCCCTGGCTAGGTGTTATGAGGTTAAATTTTCAGCACATTAAGTTTCAATTGGACCACATATTATGCCACTGTGCTTAAAAACTCACATTGATTCAAGTATTAGAATCATAGAATTTTCTTCATGGAGAGAGATGGTTGGGTAGTAAGCCAGAAATAATAGGTCTTGATTTGGGTTGCTGTCTCTTTCCAAAGGTTAGTATTTGAGGTGTGGGGCAGGGCATCAGGAACCTCCCATGGTACCAGGGTGAGGGGTTTGGAAAAGGTTTTGTTCATTTTTGAGTCATGCTTCCAGTTGTCGATGGGATCAGAAATTAACCCCAGAGGAAAGGGGCCTTTTACCAGGAGTTGAGATGGGGTTAGAGAACCAGTCAGATGGATTGGCCTCAGGGTTGGCATTTCCTGTTAGTGAACTGAAGTAAGTCAGAAAGCAGAGAAAACCACCACTGCCTGTGCACTAGGCTCTGCAAAGAGAGAGCGAGCGGGTGCCTATAGCCACCTTTCTCTAGAAATAAATTTTAGGAGTAATTTAGATTAATCTAGTTCCTACATCCCCTACTCCTAGTATGAATTATAATGTCTATTTTTTGAAGATTTGCCAGAAGAGTGGGAATGGCTCAGCAGGTAAATTAAGGTTTTAAACTATAAGAAAGTGAGGCCAAGGAAAGTAGTAACTGAAATGCAAACATATTTTTCCAGAGATATCAACTATCAAATACATTGAGATACATTTTATATATGTCTAGAGGTATATTTATTAATAATAGAGTAATTAAAACAATATTTTTATTAGTGAAAATAATCTATGCTTATTAGACAGATTTGGTAGCAAAAGGTAAATTACACCAGTTCAGTATCAGCACTTTTATATTTCCTGTGTTTGTGTGCATGTGTGTGTATATGCATTTAAATTGGAATTGTATTGCCTGTATTGATGAATGGTCTTCTGAAAAACAATTTTAATGGCTCTACCATCTTGTATCATCTTATGTTTTATTATTTCAGGTTTTATTTCTAGGATATACTCCTGACAGTGGAATAACTAGATCAAGGGATGAGAACATTTTTAAAGGCTCTTTAAGCATATTGCAAAATTGCTTTCAGGAATGCTGTATGACTAATATTTGTTTCAGGAGCATAGAGGGGACTGGTTTCCATTGTTTTAATGTGCTGTTTTTTTATTCCTTCTAAGGTTTGTTAAAAACCAAAATTGCAACAAATTTAGTTTAAATATATTAGGTTTTTATTAGCAATTCATGAATCGGTAACATCTCATCTAAACATTTGGAAAAGGTGCTCCCATGAGCTGAGCAGAGGACATTATTTCTATATGCCAGAAAGGGCTGAAGAAAGCAGAAACAGGAGATGAAAAGTGAATTGGTCATTTCAAAGTAACTTTCCTTATAGAATTAAAACAGAGAGGACTTTCTTGTTACACTGGCCCAGGTAAACTAGGCTCCTCCTCATTGGCTGCTGTGCGTCTCCTGTTTTATTTTTTTCTGAAAACAGGCCCATTTCAAAGTTCGGTTTGATTATGTGACTCCTAGCCACATAATGACTGCATTCTGAGTGACTCTATTTTGGTCTTGTCTGGTATATTGGGCCTAGTGCAGAAGCTCAGTCCAAACCAGTGGCCTCCCATACATTTCAGAACAGGTTCTGCGTTTTTTTGTGTTTTGTTTTTTTTAAACTTCATACTTTTGCAAATTTGTCTATTACAGTTTTAGTTTATTACTAATTTGTTTAAAAAATTTTTTTAAAATTATACTTTAAGTTCTAGGGTATATGTGCACAACGTGCAGGTTTGTTACATATGTATACATGTGCCATGTTGGTGTGCTGCACCCATTAACTCATCATTTACATTAGGTATATCTCCTAATGCTATCCGTCCCCCATCTCCCCACCCCATGACAGGCCCCAGTGTGTGATATTCCCCATCCTATGTCCAAGTGTTCTCATTGTTAAATTCCCACCTATGAGTGAGAACATGCGGTGTTTGGTTTTCTGTTCTTGCGATAGTTTGTTGAGAATGATGGTTTCCAGCTTCATCCATGCCCCTACGAAGGACATGAACTCATCCTTTTTTATGGCTGCGTAGTATTCCATGCTGTGTATGTGCCACATTTTCTTAATCCAGTCTGTCTTTGATGGACATTTGGGTTGGTTCCAAGTCTTTGCTATTGTGAATAGTACCGCAATAAACATACGTGTGCATCTGTCTTTATAGCAGCATGACTTATAATCCTTTGGGTATATCCCCAGTAATGGGATGGCTGGGTCAAATGGAGTTTCTAGTTCTAGATCCTTAAGGAGTCGCCACACTGTTTTCCACAGTGGTTAAACTAGTTTACAGTCCCATCAACAGTGTAAAAGTGTTCCTATTTTTCCGCATCCTCTCCAGCACCTGTTGTTTCCTGACTTTTTAATGATTGCCATTCTAACTGGTGTGAGATGGTATCTCATTGTGATTTTGATTTGCATTTCTCTGATGGCCAGTGATGATGAGCATTTTTTCATGTGTCTGTTGGCTGCATAAATGTCTTCTTTTGAGAAATGTCTGTTCATATCCTTTGCCCACTTTTTGTATGAGTTCCTTATGTAACTAAGATGATCAACTCTTTGACTGTTATTTATATCAAATATTTCTACCATTTGTCCTCTATTTTAATGAATTTATTGAAGTATAGCAGTTTCACATTGTATATTCAGGTTTAATAGATTTTTTCTTACAGTTTCTTCTCATTTCCAGATTTAGAAAACCAAAAATGACAATTTAAATAGCAAAAATAGATGAATTATGTGTTATGTTTCTGGATCTATTTTGTTATTCACTCTTCCTAACAATCTTAGGTAGTGATTGTAAATGAGGAAACTAAGGCAAGGCAAGATTAAGTAACCTTTGAAAGATAATCCAGCAAGTAAATGGTAGAGCTAGTATTTGAACTGGTCATATGGTTGTAAATCCTGTGCTCTTTAGCAGTACCTCATACTTCCTGGTAGAATAGAACAGAACAAGGGACTTTTAAAATGTTTAAGGTATTAATGAAAATTGTCAAGGAAAACATTTGGATTTATTTAAGTGTTTAAATTTGATTCTTTGGGAGGTCAAGGCAGGAGGATTGCTAGAGCCCACAAGTTTGAAACCAGCCTGGGCAACATGGCTAGACCTGGTCTCTATAAAAAAAATTTTTAAAAATTAGCCAGATGTCCTGGGATGTGCTTGTTGTCCCAGCTACTCCAGGAGGCTGAGGCAGGAGGATCACTTGAGCTCAGAGGTCGAGGCTATGGTGAGCCATGTTGGCACCACTATACTCCAGCTTGGGTGACAGAGCGAGACCCCGTCTCAAAAATAAATAAAAATAAAAATAAGTACATTTGATTCTTATTTTTCTAGTATCCAGTGATTTTTCTTTTCCTGTTGTTTGGTCCAGGAGATCTTTAAATTTTTCCCCATTATTATAGAATTAGACGTAGAAAAATATTTTGTTTACTAACTATATCTCATGATATATTTGTATTATTAAATTGGTGTGCATATGGGCAAGACTGTACTACACAGTGAAAAATCATTTTTTAATACAAAGTTTGATACTTAAAAAAAAAAGCTCTGTACATTGAAAGTACTGTGGTTATACCAACCATATGGATTGTTTGGAATTCCTAGACTGAATTTGAATATAATTAGTTATAGACTTGTTATTTGTGGTATTCATCAGTATCTAAGAGAAGTGATTATCATAACAAAATATTTTTATGGGACATCTTATATAAAATGACAAAATAATACAAATTATTTTATTCATAATTTTTGACTTTTTAAAAAACATGCAACATGCTGTTAAGT